CATAAGGAAATATACACTTGTTTCCTGTTCCCTGGCAAAAAAAGGGGGTGAGTAGGGAAAAAGAATATTTAAGAAATTATTTTCTTTTCAAAACTCAATGGATGCAGGACACATAGCCTGTAATAACAAGAAATCAGTTAAAATATTTGAAAGCATGTTTGTTTTTATAGATTCATAAATTAAAGTCATCCTTTACATTGTGATGTATTTTCAAGATTCTTTGAAATGAGTACAGGTAATACCTTTCAGAGACAACACACTAGCTGTTCATAAGCATGCTTTGAAAAATGGTCCATGTTAATCATGCACTTTTTAGCTCACCTGAGGCAGAGCCGAAGGCTCAAGTGAGCTTTTCTGATCACATTTTGTCCGTCCGTCTGTCTGTCCGTCCGTCCGTCTGTCTGTCCGTCTGTAAACTTTTAACAATTTTGACCAAACTTGGTACAAAGCATCATTGGGTAAAGGGGAATTTAAATTGTTAAAATGAAGGGACATATCCCCTCGCAAAGGGAGATTATCAAGAAAAGACAAAAATAGGGTGGGGTCATTAAAAAATCTTTCAAGAACCACTGGGCCAGAAAAGCTGAAACTTATGTGGAAGCATCCTGGTATAGTGTAGATTCTAAATTGTTCAAATCATGACCCCCGGGGGAAGGGCGGGGCCACAATGGGGAATCAAAGTTTTACATAGAAATATATAGGAAAAATCTTTGAAAATCTTCTTCTCAAGAACCACTGGGTCAGAAAGCTGAAACTTATGTGGAAGCATCCTGATATAATGTAGATTCTAAATTGTTCAAATAATGGCCCCCGGGGGATGGTTGGGGCCACAATGGGGAATCAAAGTTTTATATAAAAAATATATAGGAAATATCTTTGAAAATCTTCTTGTCAAGAACCACTGGGCCAGAAAAGCTGAAACTTATATGGATGCATTCTGGTATAGTGTAGATTCTAAATTGTTCAAATCATGACCCCCGGGGTAAGGGCGGGGCCAAAATTGGGTATCAAAGTTTTACATAGAAATATATAGGAAAATTCTTTGAAATCTTCTTCTCAAGAACCACTGGGCCAGAAAGCTGAAACTTATGTGGAAGCATCCTGATATAATGTAGATTCTAAATTGTTCAAATAATGGCCCCCGGGGGATGGTTGGGGCCACAATGGGGAATCAAAGTTTTATATAAAAAATATATAGGAAAAATCTTTGAAAATCTTCTTGTCAAGAACCACTGGGCCAGAAAAGCTGAAACTTATGTGGAAGCATTCTGATATAATGTAGATTCTAAATTGTTCAAAAAATGACCCCCGGGGGAAGGGCGGGGCCTCAATGGGGAATCAAAGTTTTACATAGAAATATATAGGAAAAATCTTTGAAAATCTTCTTGTCAAGAACCACTGGGCCAGAAAAGCTGAAACTTATGTGGAAGCATCCTGGTATAATGTAGATTCTAAATTGTTCAAATAATGACACCCGGGGGAAGGGCGGGGCCACAATCATGAATGGGGAATCAAAGTTTTATATAGAAATATATAGGAAAATTCTTTGAAAATTTTCTTCTCAAGAACCACTGGGCCAGAAAAAGTGAAGCTTATGTGGAAGCATTCAGGGGTAGTGGAAATTCTAAATTGTAGGAATCATGACCCCCGGGGGAAGGGCAGGGCCATTATAGGGAATCAAAGTTTTACATAGAAGTATTTAGGAAAAATCTTTGAAAATCTTCTTCTCAGGAACCACTGGGCCAAAAAAGCTAAAACATATGTGCCCATGGAAGGATCATGGGGTAGTGTAGATTTCAAAATGTCTAAATTATGATCAGTGGGGTAGGGTGGGGATGCACTATGTATAACAAGGATGAAATCTGGTAAAGAACAGAATGGTCAAAGCTTCTCAGGTGAGCGATGTGGCCCATGGGCCTCTTGTTTGTCAGGTATGTTGAAGTTTTGTATTGAAAAAATCTGAGATTCATTTGCGAAAACATTGTTGGACAAATTAAGTATTTTTGCCCATAATACATGTAATGAAAATGTAAATATAAAACTTCTAGGGTCAGAGGTTAAATGTAGGGTAGGACAGGTGACAGCTAATACTAATATGAGTATTTTTACTTTTGTCTTTTATCAAGGTACATATTTAAGGAAATTGACCTGGTATTTTGAATATCAAATTGAAATAAAGAGGTCAATTGGGTCATTCTGGCTACTACTAGACAAACTCTGCTAAGATTATGACAGGTTGGGACCACTCTACCAAATGGGATATAATAATCAGTTTGAGATATATTAGGGCTTGGTATTTGCCTGAAATTTTGTATTGCGGTATTTTTAACTGTATTGCGATATGTATTGCAATATTTTCAATGTAATTTAAATTGCATTTTCTTGCTATATATACTTTAATTTACAGGCAGAATGTACATTACTATGATAAGTAACCAACACGGAAAAATATCTTGTTGAAGTTATGCTCTGAAATGTTCCCACAAAACAACTTCTGCCTTGCTAAACATGCTAAATGACAAACTTTTTAAAGTCCATTTTTATATTTAATGACAAATTCCTTAATCTAAGCATATTGCCAATATATCGATATTACAAAACCGTATTGCGATACGATACTTTTTGTCACTGTATTGCAACATATTGAAATATCGATATCAATGCCCAGCCCTAGGATATATCCCAGGCAAACTTTAAAAAAATGTTTGTTTGAAATGGCCTGGAGGGTTTCAGACACAGTAGGGAGGGAGGGATTTTTAGCTCACCTGAGCTGAAAGCTCAAGTGAGTTTTTCTGAATACATTTTGTCCGGCGTCCGTCTGTCTGTCTGTCTGTCTGTCTGTCCGTCTGTCTGTAAACTTTTCACATTTTCGACTTCTTCTCAAGAACCGCTGGGCCAATTTCAACCGAACTTGCCACATAGTATCCTTGGGTTAAGGGAATTCAGGTTTGTTCAAATGAAGGGCCACGCCCTCATTCAAGGGGAGATAATTTGGAATTAAAGAAAATTTGGTGGCATATTTAAAAAATCTTCTTCTCAAGAACCACTGTGCCAGGAAAGATGAAACTTATGGGGAAACATCCTCAGGTAGCGTAGATTCAAGTTTGTTCAAATCATGAACCCCGGGGATAGGGCGGGGCCAAAATGGCCGACCAAAATTTTATATAGAAATATATAGGAAAATTCTTTAAAAATCTTCTTCTCAAGAATGACAAAGCCATAATTCATCATATTTATATGGAAGCATGCTCAAGTAGTGTAGATTCAAGTTTGTTCAAATCATGACCCCCAGGGGTAGGGCAGGGCCAAAATGGCCGACCAAAGTTTTATATAGAAATATATAGGAAAATTCTTTAAAAATCTTCTTCTCAAGAATAGCAAAGCCATAATTGATCATATTTATATGGAAGCATCCTCAGGTAGTGTAGATTCAAGTTTGTTCAAATCATGACCCCCAGGGGTAGAGCGATGCCAAAATGGCCGACCAAAATTTTACAAAGAAATATATAGGAAAATTCTTTAAAAGTCTTCATTTCAAAAATAGCAAAGCCATAATTGATCATATTATTATGGAAGCATCCTCAGGTAGTGTAGATTCAAGTTTGGTCAAATCATGACCCCCAGGGGTAGGGCGGGGCCAAAATGGCCGACCAAAGTTTTACATAGAAATATGTTGGAAAATTCTTTTAAATCTTCTACTCAAGAATAGCAAAGCTATGATTGGTCATGGGACTACTTTTGGATTTAAGCTTTTCAATAGTAAACCAATTCTACTTTTTCCTAGCCACAGTGCTCAGATGAGCGATGAGCCCATGGGCCTCTTGTTATTACCCCGCTTCGAAGGAGAGGGAGTATACTGTTTTACCCTTGTGTGTCTGTCCGTCTGATCTGCAGTCTGATCATAACTAATTTTTCGTCGCTGTTTTCTCAGCAACTACTTATCGCAGATATGATAAATTTTTACACAATCTTCTCTGAGTTATTCCATACAGCGGGATACATTTTTTCAATCCAATGTCAACTTCCTGTTTGTCTGTGCATTTGTCCGTTTCGTAACAAATTTTTATGGCAGTTTTGTCAACAACTACTCATTGCAGATGCTTGAAATTTTTAAAGAATCTTCTCTGAGGCATGCCCATACAGAAGGATACATTTTTGTTCAAATAATATGTCAACTTCCTGTTTGTCTGTGAGTCTGTCCGTTTTATACATAACAACTTTTTGTCGCAGTTTTCTCAACAACTATTCATCGCAGATGCTAGAAATTTTAACACAATTTATTTTGGAGGCATACTGTACAGTGGGATATATTTTGTTCAAATCCGATGTTAACTTTCTGATTGTCTGTGCATCTGTCCATTTCATACATAACAAAATTTTCGTCACAGTTTTGCAAGTAACAACACATCACAGATGCTTGAAATTTATTCACAATTTTCTCTGTGGCTACCATCCAGTGGGATACATGTTTGTTTGAATACCATGTCAACTTCCTGTTTGTATATGCGTCTCTCCGTCTTATATGTAACAATTTTTTGTCGCAGTTTTCTCAACAACTACTCATCACAGATGCTTGATATTTTAACAGAATTCTCAGGTATTTGTTGGCCTAGAATCATCAAACTCTGTCAGTGGATACATCTTGGGTTTTCGGAGAATGTCAACCTAAAATTAGATCACTGTTTTTGACATTTTATGGCTAGTTTTATGTATCTTGGGTATATTTGGTCTAGAATCATCAAACTTTGTCATTTGATGCATCTTAGGTTTTCGGAGCGATTCAAGGCCCTTGGGCCTATTGTTATCCTTTTGTCTGGATTCAATTGATTTTGCTTTCAAATAATGATCTGGGTTGGTTGGGAGACAAATGGTGACCCAATTTGTGGTGAAATACATCTCCAGGCATGCGGATTATGTATACGTTAATGTCGTCATATATAAAAGATCTAATAGAAATAGGCCAATGGTCTATTTCTTATCATTTTAAATTTATTTTCCAGATGCCTAAGAGAAAGAAAGTGTCAGCCAGAAGGCAACGGGAAGCAGACAAACTAAGAAAAAGAAATGAGAGGGAAAAACTGAAAGATACACCAGATGGTACACAAGCCTTAGAGACAAAGTTTGTTGATCCTTGCGGGACAGCAGATGGAGCTGAGCTAGCTCCTCCCGGTAATTTTCCGGGGCGAGGCTCCATGGGGTTGCCGCCTTTTGAGGAAAAACCCCTGGCCAGGGTGCAGGCCTCACTTCGAGTGAAAATGCATCCACCTGCCCCGAGGTTGCCATCTCCTCGGGGAAGTCGTCTGTTTGTCCATGACGAGGGCAAGGCACCGTCCACTGACTCCCCACCGTGGGTTTGTGCTCCACCGAGGGCACCTGGATCGGACATAGTGCATATGTCTGGTCCAGCAGGACAGGCGCAGCTGGATACCTCCAGGATGGAGGAGACCAGTAGATTATCAAAAGATGAGGGCTTTTTGAAGGAAATTAAAAAGGAATCTGAAAGTAATACTTATGGAATATTGAACAGAGAATATGATATATCGGAAAATATAGAAAGAGATACAGAAAAAATGAGTATAATTGAGAATTTAATAGAAACAAATGATAATGAGAAGGTGGAAAATATTATGGGGAGTGGAAATGAATCTTTTATGAATGAAAATACGAAAGAAACCTTAAAAAAAGAGACAATGGGAAATGTGATTGAGGAAAGATTTGATAAAGAAAAAAGCAAAGAAGAGTTTGTTGTGTATGGTCTAGAGAGGGGGAGTACTATGTCCAGTTTACATGATAGAGGTGTTGAAGGGAATACATTTCAGACAACTCAACCCACTCCATATTCAGTTTCTGTACAGGGTTCTTTTCACCAAGGTGATCCATTGTTTGGGGAAAGTGCAGGAACACAGTGTGTTGCGAATTGTTTGGCAGGGTTAGCATATGATATCTTGAAGAGTGCCAATATTTGGCAAACGGCTGACATGAATAAAATTCTAGTGACTGGAGATGAACTGTATGCATATCTACAACAAAGTTCCACAATTAGAAGCAGATACCTATAAGTGGATGAATTACCACAGTATTTTGAATGCTATAGCAAAACATTTGAGTTTAAAGTTAAACTTTCTGTGTCTAGCTTAATAAGCTTATCAGATGAAGAGCCATGTTATGAGGACTTCAATGCTTTTCCCCTTACTGAAGCTCTTCAAAAGGTGCTAGAGGGAACTCGTGGATGTTTTGTATGTTTTGGAGGAAACACACTCTTAGTTGGGAGAACCAATGAAGGATTTTATACATTTGATTCACATTCACGGTGTTGTAGTGGATATATGAATGTAAATGGAAAGAGTACAAGAATTTTGTTGAGGACTGTACATGATGTTTATTTGCATCTGGTCTCTTTAGCTCTATCCATGGGCTTTACAAGGACTGTTGAATGTGAATTAACTGGGGCATTGTGTTTACTAAAGCAGTTTGGTTTTGCTCCAGTAAAAGAAGATGAGGATGTGTTTTTGTATTCTGACACAGGAATTGGTTCAGCACCAGGAAATAACTTCTCAGGAGATAAGTGTTTTCATTCAGACATGTGCATAGGTTCAGCAGAAGGAAATAAAATCTCAGAAAACGAAGAGAATATTCTCGAAAGTGAGATAAAATTTCTGAGCAAGGAAAGCAAAAGGCAAGATTTTTTCCCTTTGAGTGTCAAAAAACAAGAGGAATTATGCAGACTTTTAGATCTGCCGTATTCTCATTCAAGTAGGGAATGTTATGCAGAGTCTTTGATCGATATGGGTGCACCTACTCAATTTAGAGATATTGTGAGAGATGGCAATTGCTTTTTTAGGGCCATATCATTTTGTCTGACAAATTCTGAAGATCACCATCAGGCAATTAGAGCTGCTGTATGTCAACACTTGGTTCAGAATGAAAGTTGGTTTGAAAAGTGTTTGAGGTGTAATGGAGAATCAGTAAGAGCCTATTTACTTTCAAGTAAAATGTGTGAAGTAGGCATATGGGCTACAGAATTGGAGATATTAGCAGTGTCAGACATGTTGAATGTAGATATATTTACTTTCTCAGACATGAAATGGCTTCAGTTTAAAGGACAAAAGCAAAATCTAGGACCAAACAAACAAAATGAAGCAATTTACGTATATCATAACCAACAGAACCATTACGATGTTGTGTTAAATGTTTCAGCAAGGATATCTGACAATCAGTGTCAGTCTCAAAGTACGAGTAAGTCATATGTGAGAGAGTACAATCTGCGCAGAGTAAATCGCATGAGAATGCGAAAGAAACGAGGCAACATAAACTTAAAAATGTACTCAAAAGCAAATGAAAATCGCAAGAATGCATTGAGGAAGAAGTACCATGAAAACAAAGTGTTCAGAAAAGAAATGTTAAAGAACAAAAAGAAACTCTATTCAAATGCAGATTTCAGGTCGAAAACACTTGCAAGCAGTAGAAGAAGGTATCAAGAAGATGAGGAGTACAAATCTAAATTGAGACGTCAAAGTATTCGCAAATATGCCACAAACTTGAATCATAAGCAAGATGTAAAGAAACGGAGTGTATTGAAATATGAGATGGATGCTAAACATAGAGAACATGTTAGGAAACAGAGTATTGAAAAGTACAAGTCAGATATTGGACACAAAGAGAATGTCAAACACAGAAGTTGTGAAAAGTACTCTACACATATGGAACATAGAGGAAATGTTAAACGAAGAGCATTGGACAAGTATAAAAATGATGAAAAGTATCGAGAAAGGAACAAAGCTGCTAATGTTCAAAGGTACAAAACAAATGTGAAGTTTAAAGAAAAGCAGAGAGAGAATGCTACAAGAAGATACAAAACTGATAGTAATGTTCAATCAGCAATGAAGAGCCAAAGTAAAGTTAAATATCAGTCATCGTCGCAATTAAAACAAAAGAAAAAAGAGAGAGTGAAGAGGCAACGAAAGATGAAAAAGATGAATTTACAAGAAGAACAAGTTGTTACAACGTTCAAAGGAAATGCAGGGAAAGGTCCAGAGTATGTTTGTTGTTGCTGCCATAGACTTTTATTTAGAAATCAAGTTCAAGCCTGTGAACATCAATGTATGAAAAAAATGAACAATCTCGAATTATTTCAAATATTTGTTTACAAACTAAGTATTTGCATGAATGCTCTGAATCTTGCCGAGAAACATGTCCAAGATCATCGTTATGGATTTGTTTCACCTGTCATAGAAAAATTTTGAGTGGAAAAATACCATCTGAGGCTGCTGCAAACAACTTGTCACTGGAAGACATTCCACCGGAGTTGAACAATATAAACAGCTTAGAACAGCACCTTATTGCACTTCACATACCTTTTATGAAGGTTATGGCTCTTCCTCATGGGGGACAAAGGAATATACACGGACCCATTGTTTGTGTGCCCTCAGATGTAACAAAAGCTACCAGTTTACCTCTGCAGCAAGATAAGAACTTACTGTTACGAGTTAAATTAAAAAGGAAGTTGAATTTCAAAGGTTACTTTGAATATCAATTTGTGAATGCAGAAAATGTCTTGGCAGCCTTGGCATATTTGAAAAAAAATAACCAGTGGTATGAAGATGTGACGATTGAAACAAATTTCGAGGAAAATGAAAATTATGAAGAGAACAATGAAGAAAAGACAGAGAACACAAATAACAGTGAAGAAAATGATGAGCAAATGATTGCATTCGATACATGTTTACAGCCTGTTGATGTTGCACAGGAAGTTTTAGATCATTATTTTGATGATGTGTACAACATTGCGCCTGGTGAAGGGAAAAATCCAGTTCGAATGTTACAAGAACCAGGAAATGAGGCTAAAACATTTCCATGCCATTTTCCAAGTGGGAGGTTTTCCTGGAATGAAGAAAGGTCAGAAAAAATAACACTTTCTAGGTATTTCAACAATAGATTAATGAATGCCGACAACAGATTTGCAAAGGATACGTGTTACATTTTCTTCAGTCAGTATATGTCTGAATTAAACCAGGTGATAGAGAAAACTCAAATTTCCCTCAGAAAGTCAGTATCTAAGATTTCTAGTGGTAAATCAGTGACAGCAAATATGCTGCAAGATCCATCTGCTCTTTCTTGTTTGCTCAGAAATGATGATGCAATAAGGTTTATGCAGCCTATTAGGGGAACACCAGCATACTGGTCTGCTGCTCAGAAAGATCTGTTTGCTATGCTTCGGCAGTTAGGAATACCAACTTGGTTTTGCTCTTTTTCTGCCGCTGAATACAGATGGAATGACGCTGTAAGGGTTATATTGCATCATTTAAATGATGATAGGAATCCTGAAGAAATGGACTGGTCAGAAAAGAATGAAGTTTTAAGATGCAATCCAGTTACAGTAGCAAGGATGTTCGAACATAGATTTCACACATTTCATAGAGAGGTAATACTTTCTTCAGCGGAACCGATTGGAAAAGTTGTAGACTATTTTCAAAGAGTTGAGTTTCAACAGAGGGGTTCCCCACATATGCATTGCTTGTACTGGATCGAAAACGCACCTAATATCGATTCTGATGGGGAAGGAGCTGTATGTAATTTTATAGACAGATACGTAACATGTGCTTTACCTTCAGAAATCGATGATTCTGATCTGAGAAAAACAGTTTCCGAAGTTCAGCAACACAGCAAGAAACATTCAAAAACTTGCAAAAAGAAGGGTACAGAATGTAGGTTCAATTTTCCCAGACCTCCATCTCAAAGGACCTTTATTACAAGCCTTCAGGATAATGAAAATGTAGGGCATTGTGAAACAGAAGATGAACATAGTAAGATAAATAAGGCTTATGCAAAAAAGATACTGCTTAGTGTATGGGACAAAGTGCAAACAGAAGGTGAAGAAAACTCCACAACAGAAGAAATATTTGAAGACCTTTCACTAACTCAGGAACTGTATGAAGAAGCCCAAAACATTTTATCAACAAGGAGATCAGTTATTCTAGAGCGCAATCCAAATGAAATGTGGACAAACCAATATAACCGTTGTCTCCTAAAATGCTGGGATGCTAACATGGATATACAGTTTGTTCTAGATCCGTTCAGCTGCATTGTATATATTGTTTCATATATTTCCAAGGCAGAAAGGGAGATGGGAATGCTACTTAAACAAACAAAGTTAGAGGCAGAGGAGGGGAATTTTGATGCTCGACAGACAATGAAAAAAATAGGGTCTGCTTATTTACATCACAGAGAAGTTAGTGCCCAGGAAGCTGTATATAGAGTGTGCAACTTAAAGATGAAAGAGTGTTCACGAAAAGTTGCTTTTGTCCCTGTAGGTGACAATCCTGTACGGTTATCTAAGCCATTGTCTCAGCTGAAAAAGAAAACTAAAAAGGACGTTGAAATAATTGATGATATCGATGACGACGAAGATGACATTTGGATGACAAATATTTTAGAGCGTTATGAAAATCGTCCAGATAAGTCAGAGTTTCATGCCATGTGCCTTGCAGAGTTTTGCTCTGAATTCAGGGTTCTTGCTAAATCTCAGGTACCAAAGAATTGGAACAACAATGTTTTTAAACTACAGAACGAGAAAGGTTATGTTCAGCGGAGAACAAGAACGAAAGCTGCGGTTATAAGGTATCCAAGATTTAATGCTGAAAAAACACCCGAAAAGTATTATCAATCTCTTCTGCAACTTTTTCTTCCATACTGGACAGAGATGCAGCTAAAACCACCAGGGTTTGACTTGTTTAAGGATTTCTACGAAACAGGTCATGTGAAAATAGTAGGGAAAAAATCCTTACAATCAGTGAAGTCGATTGTGGACACTAATCATTCTTGTTTTGGAAAAAATGAAGATGTCATTGACAGAGCTCAAGAGGCCTACGAAATGTATGGTGAACCAGAGGATGCATGGTCACGTTTATGTCCAGAAACTGAGGTGTTGAGAGGAGAAGGATTAGCAAAGAGAAAAGAAAACCCAGTACCACAGGAGGAAGATGTTGACCGTATACCTGAAATGGAATCGGACACACATAATGCAGATGTGCTGTATCAAGTTCAACAAAGTGTTTCCTCCACGGATGAGGCTATTTCTGTACTCCGAAATCTGAATGAAATGCAACGTAAAATATTTTACTTTGTGCGTGACTGGTGTTCAGCAAAAGTTATAGGAGAAAATTGTGAACCTTTCCATTTGTTTGTTACGGGTGGAGCAGGAACAGGTAAAAGCCATCTGATTAAGGCAATTCATTATGAATCGTCCCGGTTGCTTTCTAAATTGATGTCTGAACCACAAAGGGTGCCAGTACTTCTTTCAGCATTCACAGGAACTGCTGCTTTCAACATTGGCGGAAATACACTTCATCACTTATTTGCGTTAACAAAATTTCTCCCTGAACCACTAAGAGAACAGAGTCTTAGTGAAATGAGAGCAAAAATTGGGGACCTTCAAATTCTGGTGATTGATGAAATATCAATGGTCTACAAAAGGTTGCTGTATTACGTACATGAAAG